TGCAGTGTGAGGGGCCACAACAGAAATGTCTTGACAATGTGTGTGGGCACTCTGTAAGACTTTAAGAGCTGTTTCAGTGTCTACTGGATCCTGGCTGTATCAAGTTCTTCACAATTTGTCTCTCATTCAGTCATGAAGAGGTGAATCAATTAGTATTTTTTCCTCGTCATATTTCAAGTGGAACGTTTCAATACACTACATTCAATCCCTATTGGCATTACATTAAGTTGACTCAAAGTGTGGGGTGCAATATAGCTGCAAGACTAAATTTCTACGTTCAGGGTTTGGAATTTTCTGTGGGCTCTTTTACTTGTTTCTTTTAAGATTTTACTGCTTGCTATCCATGCTAATAAATGATAAATTTGACAAGACCTTTGCATTCATTCCTCTGATTATCTGAATAAAAAACACAAAATGTCCTTCTTTCTATTCTGGCTAGCTGTACAGCCAAATCATGAGCAGCATACCTGCACCTGTAGAGGACTCATGCTTTGGTGGCAGACAAAAGCACTGCATTATAGACACTCCAGCTGTTGTAAGCTAGCATTTTAACTCAGGGGAACCCGTGTCAGAAGTAGCACAAACAAATACCCTGTCCTAGAAGGCTGAGAGACAATGCATAGTATTTTGTTTTGTAAGCTCAGTATATCATTTAGTTTGCATTTCCTAAGAGGAAAATGGCAATAGAGAGGTGACCAACATATAGTTGTAATACAAAAGTTGTCACTACCAAATGGTGAGAAAGCTAAAAAAGAATCACACTCAGGGCCAACTGCTATTGAATAGTAAATAGACAGGAAAATCTCCTAAAACCTGTATTTTGGCAAAGATATTATTTAGCCCTTCATGCATTATGTTGAGTCCAGGAATTCTTGAGAAGATAGTGGAGCACACAGAAAGACTCTGAAAGTGATCCATTTTGACACGTAATTATTTTTCAAACAATTTCACTATCTACTTTCATGAGAAAGATTACCTGTCTTCCCTTGGAAGCTTTGTAAATGTCACTTTTTTTGTACTGGCAGAATAATTTGGAATGCATCTGGAAGCTCATGTGTGATATGGAGTGTGTTTGGAAGTCCGTGTATACTCTCTGTAATTATAACACAAATATAAAAACACTGGCTTTGTAATCCAGTTTTGTTTTGGGAAGTAATGTTTCATTTAAGAAGAATGGATAATATTTAGGGAAATAATTAATTTTCTATTTCTGTGTGCCTTGAAAAAGTTGATTAAATCAGTACTATATCTTGATGAAACAAAACACCACCAAATCACAGCAAATGTTTATCTACTTTATCTCATTAACAAGACATGAAGTAAAGAAATGGGAATGTTAAGCACAAAATATTTCCTAAAAGAAAGGTTATCTAAACTACCATGTAACATTTTAAAAAAAACTTTTAAAAATTCTCATGGTGGATAGGACTCTGGAAAATTCATTCTATAAGCTTGAGTGTGTTGGCTTTTACTAGAGTGTAAAGTTCAATTTATCCATACTCAATTAGAAATAAGTAAATTTTTCATTATCTTAATCTAATTAGAGAAGTCAGGTTTTGCATTTGTTCACCAATATGAAATTACTTCATTCACTTTTTAAAAATATTTCACTAATTATTTTTATTTAAAGAAAAATAGTTTTTCCCTACTACTCTTTTATCAGCTATTTAATGTGAATATTTGATATTCACTGCAGCTGCTCTTAAGAGTTACATTGTACTTATTCTATGCTCTGGTGGAAAGGCCTAATGCTTCCCAAGCTTTAAAAAAACTCTTTTGCAGATGTTCTTTCTTTATTGTTGAAAATAAAAATCACTTACAAAATTACAATTATTCTTGATCGATTGCATTTATCTCCCATCCTAAAAATAATCTCAAAGTGAAGCGTGGCCATGGGCCTCTGCAGAAATAGTTGGTTTAAACTTCAGAACAAAATAGCCTTTTACCCCTCCATTAGCATGGGGATTTTTGTACAAGAATCTTACAAAGACTAAATTGGTAAAATGACCCTGATTTTGTGGTTGTAGGACCCTATCTAGTTAAATAATTACCTTCTTCATGATGACAGCTCATATGAAAATTGGATAGCAATATGAAAAGTAGGATCAAGAAGAAAATTTCTAGGGCAGTAGGTTATTCTTTTCAATAAATCTGGAACCCATCCATTCCTCTCTCTGTCTCCCTCTTTCATGAGTAATTTGCCTTGAACAGACTTGCTGTTAGCAGCAGTACTTTCTTTTAAGTACAGTGATATGATGTTTTCCAAAGCACAGAATAGACACAATGGCAAGAAACACATACCTTTTGTGAAGGATAAGATGTTTATTCATGATTCATGATGTTTAAGTCATGAATTATTGAAACTCTGTATCCCAAGGAGCCAGCCAATTTAAGCAATTAGCAACTAGTTTGTTAGTTTTCCATCCTGAGGCCCATCTAAAAATGGATAACTAACTAATAAAGCTTTTTGCCATGAAAATGGTTGCTTCCATAGGTTTTATTTTGAAGACTTAGCAAATAGTTTACTTTAATATTTAATTTTTTTAAAATATGGAAAAAAAACTATAAGAGAGGTACAGCTATTAGGAACCAATTATAACAGAAAATTAGTTATGTTTACTAGCCTTCATGAGCTGGTTTTCTTGCATTCAGAAACAAAGAGTAGTTTTTATTTGAGAAATCATTAAAAAAGTGGCATAGCTTCAACTTTCCTGCTTCTCCATGGTATTTCAATTTCTTTCAGCCATCTATGCATTCAGACTAAGGTTATCAGTTGCTAGTCCATTATTAGTTAAGCATCATGTACTTCCATTCTCACCTGGTCTAAAACAGAGCAGAAGGAGTAGCTAGGGGTGGTTCTTTATGTTAAAAAGCAATTTCATCTTTTAAAGACCATTGTGAATATTCAGCACAGAAAAAGGTATCTAAATCTAAAATGGTATCCATTACTAAATAGTAATTTGGCAAGCCAATGGGTGAAAGTAGGAACTGAATGAAAACAAGTATGCTAGAAGAGAAAGATACCAGTAGCTTGTAGATAAATTAGTTCATTTAACTATACTTAAATAACTGCCTACACTTTTGTTATAAAAAGAAACATATGGTAATATCCTCATGGTCTATGGCAATATGACAAAATTAGACACTCATTCCATAACAGTAAAATAAAATACTGGAAACTTCTAAAAGTCCTGAGAACACTGTATTTTTCTCTTTTATTAATCATGGTTTAAATTAATACACACTGTACTTGAAGTTACTCCTTGAGGCTTACATCAGCGTCTAATCAATTGTTAACCGTTCATATCAAAGTGTGCTTAAGAAATCATTGACTCCCTCTTTTGCAAAAGTGATGTAGTATAATTGAATACTATAATTGTATACTTAGGACTAAACAAGGCAGCAAACAGCAGAAAACAGTATTGAAAATAATGGTGCTGAGAGTAAGTAGTCATTGTCACAGGCTGAGATACAGGAACACTGTACAATTTTGACAATATTGTGTCTTTTTGATTTATTTCCAAATTGTTGATATGAACAATAGTTTTGTCTATCAAAAGGAAGTGTCATCATAGACTCTTGAAGAAATTGGGTTTTATGTGTGCAAAAATATTTATGTAAATATATAAAGTGTGTAAATACCTAGTGTTCTCTATGCTTTCTCCAGTTCTTTTATATTCAATAACAAAATAGAACAATATTTTGATAACCTGATAAAAATAACAAGAGATTCGGAATCTAAATTACAAATGACATAGCAAAAAATTAATGAGCAATCATTGGCTATAATTTGTCCTCCTTTCCTTGAGATTAAAACAAACAAGATCAGAGAAGCCTTAAGTAGATAAAAGACAAATGGAAATTTAAATCCCTTTGAAGGTATGGTCTGTATTGCAGGAAAACACCTTCCATCCATTCAATGGGCTTTTATATCCAGGAAGACAATGAATAAACTCCTCAGGACTCTTTTTCTTTCTAACCAGCAGCTAAAAGGAGGAACAACTTTTCTCACACTCTTACAGACAACAGTTCTCAGATTCTGCTGCCATATGTGCTGGAAACTTTTTTTACTTCCATTTTACATAATCATCAAGTTTCACTAAGGAGAATCTGCTTTCAGCCTAACCCTTTGCAGTATTACCTTATTTTGAAGGGATTGGCTTCATTTTGATATGCTGACATTAATTCATATTTGGAACCTTGGAAAGGGTTACTTGAATCACCAGGGGAAAGCATTCATAATTTTTTTGAGTTTAAAATCTGGTCTAAATTTTATATTTCTTGTACATATGGGTTTTTTCATTGATCATAGGTCATAAACAAGTACCCCTACAACACCTACAAAAGCACAAGGAATTGTGAGCTTTTAGCTCTCATATCAGCAGCTAAAATAGACAGGTTCTAGGTACACTTAGAAGGATGTGGGTTTTCATGTAAAACTATGTAAGGAGTATCTGACTTTGATATTACTGATTCTGCTTTCAATTAATATTGGAACATCAGTGTTCTTTAGAATCTTCATTTACAATCCATTCATTTTAGAATCCATCAAAACACTGTTTTTTATGTAAACTCTTTTCTGACCTATTATGTTCTGTTAAATAAAGGCTGATTTCTGGGTGATAGTGATTTCTGAGATCCTAAAATGTGCATTGGAGTTTTTGTATTACAGCTTACTCTCTTTCATATATTCACTTAGGAAGTAGATCTCTTCAAAACGAGCCCCTGAACAGAAGTGCATTCTTCCACTCATACATTTAACATCTTTGATAAGTCCAAGTAAGAGCCGATTAAAGTAATGTTAAAAATATATTAATTTATTCCATGCCTGTATGTAGAGTCTGCTGAATATATGCTCTACAAGGGGTTGCACAGAGGTAACTTTATGATGGTTCAGATGCTTCTGGTTTAGCTTTGAGAGTAAAGAAGAATATGCCTGACTCCCCACAGTCGAAGCTATTATTCTTGCAGTTGATGTATTTGGATGCTAGGCTGTTCTATTTTTTTTTTTTCCTTCTTATGATCTATTTCTTTTGAACAGACTTTTTCTTTCATTTTGGAGAAAACATAGTCTAGTCACATTGCAAGTCAAATAGAATATAGTAGTTGCTATCAGTGACTTGATAAGATGTCTCTCAATTAAGAAGAAAATAAATGTCCGTGTAAAGTAAGGAGAACCTGAAGGTTCAGTAAAGCATCAGGCAAGCATACTCTGAAAATTTGCTGTTTCAATGTCTCATGTGTACATGGATATAAAAATCTCCTAGCCTTACAAATACCTGTTTGTAGAAATAATTTAATTTTCCAGGCTCTTGTCCTTATGTGGAAGGTGGATTGCCTCAGTTATCTAATGTGTTGGAAGCAGGCATATTACTAAGTAGTTCACACTGGGCAGATTTCCAAAAATATCCTTCTGCATATTTCCTTTCCCACGAACATGAACATTAACTGAGTGAACTAGTGGAAAGTACAATAACTGTCTTGATGTGCCAAGGATGGGCTTGGAGTTCATTACTTTCAGATCTCCCAGCACTGAGGCCCTCATTCCAAATTGCCCAACTGTTAATGAGAGCAAGTTCCCAATTGGAACATCTGTGTGCCTTTATCACCCTAACACTATGTTGAGAATTAGAGCCTTCCATTACCTGAAATTTCAGGAATATCTACATGCTTTTTAAAATCTTCCCCCATATCCTTTTAGGGTCCAGCTCTCCACAGGTTCCCCAGAAATTCACAGCTAGGGCTTCCAAGCAAAAATTTCACATGTATTTATTCAGCACTTACTGAGAGAAGATGATCCAGCAGTTCCTTATTCAGCTCACGACACTCTTCTCTACAGCCATCCAAAATGTAAAATTATCCTGATATAACCCTTCTGCATTTGTTTCTCAGTCTGTAGATCTATGGCAGTCCTTCTTGACAGATAATGATGCCCTATTTTCCAGCTGCACAGGAGATCTTGTAGGTAAAATGTTCTCATTTTCCTATTTCTCCCATAGAAACAGGGTGTTTTCTTGTTCAGGGGATCATGTTCAACATTTCTGATCAGTACAAAGTGAAGCACTAGAGGAAGAAGAATTCTGTTAAGACTCTTTGGCTCTGAGTAATCACGAAAAGCCAATGGTGCCAGGAATAAATCACATGAAGAGAAATACTTTGAGCATAGGAATGGAGCTGTGAAAACCTCACTAGAATTGGAATGCTCCAGAAACACACCAGAGAACAACTGGAGAAGATTTAAACAGCACCCAGCTTTTGGGTACAGACATAGGACTACAGAACAAGGGAATTATTGCAGTTTAAAAAAGTTACAAAACTTCAATTCTAAATAGCTGTCTGCTCCTAGCTCATGCAAAAATCACTAAAATATGTTAGTGTAGCAATGATTGAAAGTCAAAAAAAAAAAAAAAAAAGGAAAAAAAACCCAAACCAACAAACCTTAATGTTTTTTCTGTTTATCTGAGCCATACAAACTTTTTGAAAGACAATTCAGGGACATGCACTATCCAGTACTCTATATACCATTGCATTTACAAAGACTTAGGTGCATTCTCAGAGACAATGAAATGCAGTCTCACCTGGCAATGGTGGGCAATGTGTACCAACCAAGTTATTGCAGTCTGTTGAATACCGACCTTTGTAGACCTTCAGCAACAGGAACCTGGGATGTAATATCAGATTTCACAATATCTGATTTTGAAGGCATATCTTAGGGCTTCCCAACTTATTGCAAGCAAGCTAATTATGAAATTGCTACCTGGTCCTATGAGTAGGAACTACATACGTTAAACATGTAAGCCACACCCACCCCCTCACCAAGAACAGCAAACCCACACCAAAACAGAAAAAAAAAACAACCCAAAAAAACCAGCCAAAAAGCAAACAATGAAAGAGAAGAGAGTAAAGATCCAAATTTGCCATTTTGAGTCTGGAGAAATGCTACATATATGGAAGGGTTTTTTTGGAAATTCATACTATATTCCCATGCTACTGGAAAACACATACACACATTTGAATAAACTGCATCGTATTCTGATTTTATTCAATTAATATCAGCTGAGTCAAAACAACAAAACCCAAGGCTCCCCACAAAAAAACCCTCAAAAACCACCAAAAACCATCCAAACAAAACAAAACAAAACAAAACAAAAAAAACCAACAAAAAACCAAAAAAACACCCCCCCAAAAAAATCAAACCCAAAAAACCACAACCCCCTCCAAGAAGAACAAATGCAAAAAGAAACAAAAACCCCAGACAAAAAACCAGAACAAAACCAAAAACAAAACCAAAAAAACACTGGCAAGTTAAATCTCCTCAGTCCTAAGGGACTGAAATTAGTACCTGCTTGTTGCTTGCATTTACTGGATGCTTAGCACTCCCAGCTATAAAGTGAGCTCAACTATGGCAGTATTTTTCAGCATTTGCTATAGAGAGTATATAAACCTACAGCTGAGGAGCAAATGTTTGCATTTCTGAAGGAAGACCACTCTTCTCCTGCTTTTCTTTATGACACTGAAATATGCTAACCATTCATTTAATGCAAATTTGTAGTTTTCTATGTGTCTTAGGTTATAATGTAAGTTGTAACAAAAAGTGTGCATTCTATTACCATCTTCATAAGCTGTTAAGGCCAGGTGTGGCAGTGTTCCTTATCTCCTCCATGACTCATCCCTGATTAACTCCTTCCACAAGGATTGCTAATGGACAATCAAGGTCTCACTGCATGACTCAAAAACTGCATCATCCCATTGTGAGATGCTCCGCCCAGGGGGAGGAACCAAGCATTCCTACTTGGATATAATCTGAGACTTGGAACACCATGAGGAGCACTACTCACTGGATCCCCTTGAGAAGAAGAGCTTCATAATCAATACTGGGCGTTCAGAAAAGGACCAGACTTCATTATAGGGTCACTGCTTCAACAGAACCACATTTGTCACTCCAACAGCACTGACGCTGCCATTTAATTGGACTTCTACTACCACCCTAACCAACACGGTGTCAGGTTGTAACCTGACTCTGTCAGTTTAAGCCAGTGTTTCTGTATTATCCCCTTTTTCTTAATTTTCCTACTAAATTCTAGTTCTGCCTTGGGATCTCACACTGGTTTGCTTTCAAACTAGTACACTGTGATTTCTGGCGTAGTCCAGCCATCAACTGTAATATTTTGGGAGCTGCAATTCAATGAAGTTTTGTTTTTGAACCAAACCAAACCAAAAGCAGTCTTTCTGTTCATTTCTGCCCTAGGGTCCTAAGAAATTATTTAAGTGAAGCCACTTCAGAGATAGACAAAGCAGGAACTGGTTATTGTATTTTTCCTGAATGGGCTGAAAAAATTTAGAAATACTAGTTTTCCGAGTATAAAACATGACTATACAAAAGTCACATCAGGTGGATAACAGAGCAGGGTTTCTTTGGCCTTCAGGTGTTAGCATTTAAAAAAGAAAATAGGAATAAAACCTATAAGGCAAAACACAAAAGAAGATGTAGAGATTTTTCAAGATTTTTTTTTTTCATTCTGTTTTATATTTCTATCCGGTTGCCAAGGTTTAAATAGGACATCTATGAATGAATATAAGAAAAGTAAGAAATGCTTTGCTTCTTATTCTTCATTTAGAAAAGAGGAAAAAAAAGTTTGAAACGAAAAGGCAGAGGTAGAAACAATATTATCTTCTGATAGCAAGACAGAATAGGTTATTTTAGGACACCTTTTTTTACTGCCTGTTGAACTAGGAAATATAGGGTACAGACTTCACATTTATTTGGTAGGGTTTTGCTGGTTTCATTTCTTGTCCAGAAATTTTAAGGAAAAATAAAATTTTATGTATGTACATTTTTCTGAGGACTTTAAAAGGAAAATTAAATCCACTTCAAATAGAAAATGTGTGCCTCCTGAAGATATTTCTTTCATCTAGGTAAGATAAGGAGATGTTGAATGATAACAAAAGGTTTCTTTATCTAAGGTGATTATTAACTGCTCAGTGGATTATACCTTATTATTATCTGCCAAATTAAAAAACAGTTGTGTTTTAAGAAAAGAAAGTTTAGAGACTAACTGGCAGAAGACACATTCACATTTTCAAGTTTTTGGAAAGCAAAAAAGCTCAGCCACTGGTCATACCCACACATCTGAGAATAGGCACAGAAACCTCACAAAATACATTAAATACCTACTCAATAATAGCATAGTAGAGACCAGGCACAGTAGAAGGTGTCTCTGTATTCATAATGTTCAGTACAGGGAAGGACAGACGGTTCATGCACTCAGTTGTGGTTCTTCGCCAACCAGAGAAAACTTTTCTTTGTGCCATAGGTTTAAACCCAGGGAAATTATGAAAAAACAAGGGATAAGGACCTGCTTCCACAATTTGGACAATTCTTATGTGAGTTTTTACTTAGGTAGAAAGGTGGAACACAAGTCATGACTGTCCCACAGCAGAAAAACAATATTCTCTGCACAAATCCTATCTCTTCTACAGCTTCTTTAGCATAAACTTTAAGATATTCAAGACCTTCTTCTTTCATATAAAAGTTATCACTGATTAGTATTTTTCACAGAGAAAGAAAATCACCTTGCTACTGTATTTGACTGTAGTGACTGTTGATGAGTAAAAAAAAAAAAAAGCCTAAGAAACAATTTTTCACAAGATGACCATCATGGTATTACTGCTTACAAATCTTACAGATTCATGTTGTCAAGCATCCTTTGCTTCTAATGTTGACATCTACCACTGTCATAGGCCAAGGAACTGTAAGTGTAGTATAGGAAGTATCAGAAGAGTTCTGATGCTTCTGTTCTTTGAAAGTGCAAATTTCAACTTACTGCTGAATACCTTCTGAGCTCTATTAAAAGAATGAGGACATATGCCAGACTACATCAGGACTGCAAAGAATCTATAAAAGTGATTTAGGATTAGGATCATGGGTATAATCTTAATCTTGTCTTGAAACCAAAGGACTACATGCAAAATAAAAGAGTTAAAAAAAGCAGTCAGAAGATAAAAAATTAATTTCCTTCAAGAAAATTATACTGCAGGAAACTTCCATTTCAGTCTAAATACAAGTTTCTAAAGCACACAGAGGTCACAGGAAAAGAAAAATATTCCAACACCAGTTGGAAGCACAAGGAATGGTGCTGTGAAGTATGCATGTTGCTTCAACATCATTTCTTGATGAATGAGGACTATGTGTACTTGAGATGTCTCTGCAGGAGTCTAATAATATTTCAGTCACTAGGATATCAATGGTAAAGAGGAGACTAGAACAGAAGAATATTTAAGCTAAAATACTTGTGTTTGCTGAGGATTTCTTTTAGTATCTATGTTAAACTATGCAGGTAATGTTTTAAATCACAGTACAGGAAGAGCATTAAACATGAATTTCATATATACACCTAATGACAGGAAAAATAGGATCTCTTGAATAGATCTAGCAGGTAATAGAAACCCTTCCCTCAGCCTTAAAATGAAGAAATAGTTGCAGCCTAGAGGACATTAGTCGTTGGAAGTTGTGTCCTTGACAGCTTACATACTAGTATCTATCACTTAGATATCTGCCATCAGGGACTGGCAGGCATAGAAAAGAAGGTGTTCAGACAATTTTTAATGCTTCTGGAAAGTACAGATTCTTTTTGGTGTAAGTCCACTGGGGACTTAAACCAGTAACATCCACAATGCAGACAATCCTGACAGTGCAAGTACTTGACACTGTAATTTAGTGGGTTTTTTTGCATAGCTAAGAATGTCTTTGCTGAAATGGCTGTGATATTTTTGTTGTAATGTTGTTGGTTGTAAGAAGAGCTTCTTAAGGGTTATTTTAGGGGTTAGAGAGTTATATTTGTTTTTGTTTGTTTTTTGGTGGTGTGATTTGGTTTGGTTGGTATTTTTTGGTTTTGGGGGTTTTTTTCTTGTTTTTTTTTATTTAGATATTTAGACACTGGAATGGCCCTCTTCATAATTCTGCACAGATCTATGCATTTTATGGTTCCATAAAGAAAATTAATGCTTTAGGAAAGTGTTATTTACATGCCTTTGAGGCAGGTGTCTTTGTAGCAGCTCTTTCCTGAGTACATTTCTCTCATGGATAGATTTCACAGAATCATTTAGGTTGGAAAATCATCTCTGAGATCATCAAATCCAACTTTTGACCAGTCAACACTTTGCCAACTATATAGCATGGCACTGGATGCCATGTCCAGTCATTTTGTGGACACCTCCAGAAATGGCGACACCACCACCTACCTAAGCAGTCTGTTCTAATGTTTAACAACTCTTTCAGTAAAATAATTCTTCCTGACAGATGTAGAGAGATAAAAGTAGTATTTCTCACTTCTTCATGACTGCTGACTTAGTTTGGTATGAGCAAAAATTTCATTTCATAGCTTGCCCCCAGATCCTATAAGCTCAAAGAGATTTTAAAACCAGACTATTTTTAAAAACAGATAATAAAATATAAAATTTTAGTAAATTACTATCTAATCTACAGGATTTGGATTTGTCCAGTGTTAGACAATATCCCAGCAACATTGTATTAATTACACTAATTCAAGCCCAAATCAATTCCTTAAAGGTTTCTTTTTTTTTCTGTATATATGTTTGATGCTTCTAAACAGTGTCACTAGTAGGAATGACATGGATAAGAATAGTGTTCTTATAAACCATATTGTAAAATTTTTAGGGTTTTTTGGCATGTGGTTTTAGCTTGTTTGTCAGAACTTTCTATGGAGAAATTTTCTAGTTAAAGAAAACTATATGGAATTATAGAGAAATTTGGTGAATATTTTGTTTGCAGTTCAGTTATATTCATACTGCTCCAGTGACTAGAGGCACATGACAGAGGTCAAAACATATCAGGTTTTCTGGACATAAAAAGTTTATTCAATCTAGATAGAAATTCTGTTAGGAACAAGTCTCAAGTAAAGAAACATTTTTTCAAACTCCCTAAAAGTTGTGGTTTTGCTCAGTGGATTGTGTTAAAGGAAATTGGTAGAAATCTATGCCTTGTTTCAACTGAAGCCTGTTCTGAATATCTGTATGTGACTCTTGCTATTGCAGCATCTGAGAAAAAAGATGGAACATCTGGTTTCTATGATTTGTTTATTCAGTTCAATGATCATGTCTTGATGCTCAATGTAAATGTGAAATTGATTACTCTAATCCCATACATTTACTAGACTCTATTTAAATGGAGCAAGCTTTCTTCTCTGGTAAATGCTTGTTTCTGCAAGAGATGGCAGAAGTTGCAGTAAAATATGTTCTGAAGACTTCTAATCTTTACTTATCTCATTGCAAAAGTAATTTGTTGGAGACCTTCTCCAGAAGTAGAAGCAGGTTCAGTTAATAGTTCCTTTCAGTATTTCGAAACTGATTGATTTTATAAAGCAACTGCATGTCCCTAATCTTTTAACTGCCACAGGATACTACTACAAGGGGAAACTAAAATTGTTACTTGCATTGCTCAATTTGCCAATGGTGACTAAAGCTGCA